GGCTCTTAGTGAGTCATCAAGAAGAAGGTATTGAGTGAGGAGATGGCCAAGGATGCAGCTCAGGTTTGAGGAACAACTGTTTTGAGAACATGATAGGCTAAGAATTCAGCCTATATTCTCCAATTCAGATTATCAGATTTTTATATAATTGTAATTATGGTGTTCTAAATTTTTCTGTTTCTTTCATTTAATGGATTGCATTTTCAGGTTGTGTCTTTAAACTACATTAATAATTTATTGTGTGTTTGCACATGTGCCATGGTGTGAAGGTGCAGTCAGAGGACCTCTCCACATGTAGGTCCCAGGAACTGTACCACTGTTGGCTGAGATCCTGGCATTTTCAGCCACTTCCCTCATCCTTAAGGTGACAAGGATGACTCGCATGAGCCAGGCCAAGATTTCTACAAACGACCCTGTGGTAGTAAGGCCTGTGGTAGTAAAGGCACATGGTAAACAGATAGCTTAACTCGGCAGAGGTCTCTACCATTTGTGATACTTTTACTCATAGTCTGCTTCTCCTCAGAAGGATGAAAAGTCTCCTCTCAAGACTTTACAAACAGGTCCCAATCCATCCCACTCTAAGGCAGTCATGTGGTGGCCACAGTGTCTTGCCTAACTAAGGATGTGTTAGGCTTGAAACAGAGATCTCAATGCACACTTTTGTCTTCTGTCAGAGCTGAATGCTAAGGGAGTTATCCTCAACGCGTTCGAACGCTACCGTCTTAAAACATGCATTGACTTCAAGCCGTGGTCTGGAGAAGCTAACTATATATCAGTGTTCAAGGGCAGTGGGTAAGTTCAAGGGTTATCTGATAAGGTTCAGAGGAGACTATTGTTCCCCAGGGCATCACACCACAGCAATGGTCCATGCTCTGTCCTTTGCTATTTGTGCAGATCATGACCTTTAGACCTGGTTTCTCTGGCCATAAAATAATGTTTTCACAGTAGTAGAGGGTCTGTCTGGTATGTGCAAGTCCCTGGTTAGGTCCACTGTACTATGAAAAGGAGAGAGTGGGAAGGAATAAAGAAAAGGAGAAGGAAGGAGGAGAGGGAGGAGGAAGGGGAGAAAGAAAAAAGGAAGGAAGGAAGGGAGGGAGAGAGGGAGGGAAGGAGGAAGGAAGGAAGGGGCAGCCAACTTGGTGCTGGAAAGATGGCTCAGTCGCTGAGATTCTTGCTGTATAAATACGAAGACCACCTGAGTTCACATCCCCAGCACCATTTGAGAAAAAAATTGGTGAGACCGATTTTCACTCAGGGAGGTAGGGGAAGATTCTTGGATGTTACTGAACAGCTTGCCTAACCAAATTGCTAAGCTTCAGGCTTTGTTAAGAGACTCTGTCTCAAAAGGTAAGGCAGAGGGCAACTGAGGAAGACACTTTTCTGGCCTCCACATGTGTGCACACCTACATAAACATGTATACACAAATGCAAATACACTAAAATAAATAAGAAAATAGAAAATGTTTTCATGCTTGCAATGGTGCTGCATGCCTTTAATTCCAGCACTCAGGAGGCAGAGGCCAGCAGATCTCTGTGAGTTGGAGGCCAGCCAGCCTGATCTACAGAGTGAGTGCCAGGACAGATTCCAAAGCTACACAGAGAAACCCTGTCTCAAAAAACCAAAAAAAGAAAAAATTGTTTTCTTACACATATTTCATACACAACCAGACTACCAATGTCAACATATAGTAAGCATGAATGGATGTCATTTATGCTATAGCCTTGTGAATTTCATCTTGTTTACAACTGAATACTCTTTATTCTCCCTTCAAGTAAAATGTATTGTAGATTGTGTGTGAATTCATTTTTAACTCAGTAAGTCTTATTACTCGAAAGGTGGCAGTGTCATTGACCTTAACACAGTGATTCTGAGTGATTGCTGTCCCTATAAAACTCTTGTTTGGTAATTGAGAGATAACTCAACTGTTAAGGCACAAGCTGGTCTTGTAGAGGAACCATACTGTTCCCAGCATCCAAGTTGGATGACTCACAACCACCTGTGATTCCAATTCCAGGGGTTCAGATCCCTCTTCTGACTTCTGGGATATCCAAACACATGCTTGTACCCAGACAGACACACAGAGATAAACAATGAAATCACAAAACAAAACAACTCCTGGTGATGGGCATATCAATGACTATTTAAAAAAGGTTGTGATTCCCAGGGATGAGCATGGGTGACTTGTCACTGTGCATTTTATGGTGCCAAGGTAAGTTCTCTAAAAATTCTCTGTCCTGCATGGTTTTTATGCTGAGAGCAGTTTCGTGTCCAGGCACAACAGAAGGACATATGCAGTTAAACAAGTGGGCTAAGCAGCAAGGTCTCTGTCTTATGACCTTGACATTCCTCATGCAAATGTCCTGTTCCTGGTCTGCAAACTCTCCATCAGGTGCTGGTCTTCAGTGGGAAACAGGCATGTTGGGAAGCAAGAGCTGTCCATTGGGGCAAACTGTGATAGAATAGCGACAGTTCAACATGAATTCCTCCATGCCCTGGGATTCTGGCATGAGCAGTCACGTTCTGACCGGGATGACTATGTCACTATAGTTTGGGACAGGATTCTGTCAGGTATGTTTCTCTTACATCCTTAATTACAGGTCAAATTATGGAGGAGCCTTGCATCAGTACCAGCCTGGTAATGGGTGTCTGTACTTTGAGACCAGATATACTTGTTTGTGTCTACAAATTCATCTGATATCAAGTTGCTATCAGTTGTCCAGTAGCAGGGTACTAAGCAGCCTGGTGTCTTCTCTAAATACACTCAATTTAATGTTTTAAAATGATTGTCGTTGGGGCTCATGATGGCTCAAAAAATAACATTTTAAATTTACAATTGTAATGATACATATTTATGGGCAACAAGGTGATATTTTTCTATGTGCACATTAATAAACTAGCACATTTATCACCTCATTTAAAATAAACTCGATCTTCATACCTGTCATCATATGCAGCTTTTTTTGTGATAAGACATTGTTAATAAGACACAATCTTATTTGTAATTTTAAAATACAGAATACACTACCATAAAATATAGTCAATGTGATTTAAATGCATGTACAAGAATCCCAGTAACCTTTGGGTCCTCAACTATGTCCTTTTCCAATGACTCTTGTTCATGTTATCAACGCAGGGTCCCATTTTAGCGAACTCCCTAAAGTCCCGCTTTTTACCTGATTTTCTGAGTTTGTGAAACCTTTACCATTGTTGGTCGGTGACTCTGAATGTTTCCACATTGCTTTGTAGAACTTTCCTTTAGCAGTTGGTGGAACCTTAGACTTGTGGCAGTACTGGAAGTGCCGATGTGCTAGTTTGATTGTTGTTATCATAGTTATGAATGGCACCAGCAGGTTCAAAGACTGGAACACGTATCTGGAACACGTGACATTCAGTAGAGAACTCATACAAAGTTTGCTCTATTACACTTTGTATTTTTCATTTAACAGTGTTTAGTAAGAACAACTTAATTTTGTGAAGATAAAATAATTAAAGTTTTAAAATTTATCTAGGCAGGGAACACAATTTCAACATCTACGATGACAGTAGTTCAGATTCCCTGAATGTTCCCTATGACTACACCTCGGTCATGCACTACAGTAAGACAGCTTTTCAAAATGGAACAGAGCCCACCATCGTCACAAGGATCTCCGACTTTGAAGATGTGATTGGCCAAAGAATGGACTTCAGTGACTATGACCTGATGAAGCTGAACCGGCTGTACAACTGTTGTATGTGATGGGTACCTTGATGACCTGTATTTCCCTTTGCCTTGCAGGAAAAGGGATGCTCTGGACACCTTTGGGGTTTCTGAGATTATGGAAGTTTGATTTAAAAAAAAAAGAGCAGAGTAGCACCCAGGTCCCAATCTACTAGCCACTTGGAGCACTTTTCTTCTTACAAAGTTTGCCTTGAGATTTAGTAAAGCAATCCGAGTTCTTGCAGAAATGTGCCCCGTACAGATTTTTGAAGGCTTTACTAATTGCAATGTAGACCATTTCTATATTCAAACATCTCTTAGGGTATAATGAAATGTGCAGTTGAACTGTGAGACAAAATAACCTTTGCTGTGGCATTAAGGTTTAACTAACAGGAGGAATATTGACTCAGGTTTCCACAAATATATGAGAAAAAAGGAGTTGGTGTAGACTGTGAATTCGCACGCACAACGCTAAGTTTATATTGGGCTTCTGCAGACAGAGAAGTAAGTGTCTTCCCATCAGCCAGTGACACAGCCAGACAGATGTTGCCTTTCCAGCGATGCTCCCCAGAGCTCTGTGATCACAGGTTTCTCCCTTATGCCATCCTGTTGTATGAGTGCTCATGTCTTTTTCATCTCTGCTTTCGTAGCTTCTTCCTTTAGTTTTATGGACTCCTGCGATTTTGAGTTGGAAAATATCTGTGGCATGATCCAAAGTCCAGGGGATTCTGCTGACTGGCAACGGGTTTCACAGGTTCTGGGGGGTCCAGAGAATGATCACTCCAATATGGGCCAGTGCAAAGGTAACAAGTTTTATGATCAGTGGCTCCAGCCCTCTTGTTTGGTCTGAAAGACCAGTGTTTCTCTCTCTCTCTCTCTCTCTCTCTCTCTCCCTCTCTCTCTCTCTCTCATAATTATTATTGGTTTAAAAATAATCTAGTTTTATTATTCCAAATTATGTATATGTAGGGGTGGGGGTATGTACACGTGTATATGGATGCCCTTGGGTGGGGGCATGCACATGTGAGTAGACATGTTCTCAGAGGCCTTAGATCCTTTGGAGTTACAAGCAATTGTGAGCTGCCTGACATGGGTTCTGGGAATGAACTCTGATCCTTTGCAAGAACATTAGGTGTGTTAATCACTGAGCAACCTCTCCATCTCCTTTATCAGAATTATTAATGATAGCCCATTCAGTTTTTCAAAGGAATGAGACTTACACACAATAAAGGAGTGCCATTTCCTTGTTTTTCTTCACTCAATGTTTTTTCTTCTACAGATCACAGCTTGGTTCTGTGAGAACTCCATCAGTATGTTTGCAGAGCAGGATAGAATGAACCTCTCAGAAGGACTTAGATTTGAGGGGCCATTTGTCTTTCCTAGCACTTCACAGAATGTAGGAAACTAGTGAGCATCTCTGGGCTGTTAGTTACTTTATTCTGGAATCGTAGCTGGATATAATTGTGTGTTCCTGGTACCAAAATACCTACAATGAAGACAGGAAGTTCCCGCCTAGGCATTTCCAAGTTCTTCCTAATTTTGGAAACTGTAGTAAGAGAAAGGGTGCCTAAGTATGTCTCATTTATGAACTCCCTGGTTATAGAACTGTGTCTTAATGCCCAGTGCAATATCATGCTTGGCTTTTTTTTTCTGTTGCTATAACTTGGCACTTTGTTTTTTAATATTACTGACACTTGGAAGTTTAAGAGCGGGGTACCTGGTCTGCTTGTCATCTGCAGAGTGACATTCTCTTCATCACAGGGCAAGAATCACCACATGGTCACATAGAACTTTCTACTGTCTCATCTCTTCTAAAAAGGCCACAAATACTTAGATGAGGGCTTCACACTCATGACTTCATGTTTTCCTAATCACCTCCAAGGGTCTTAACATATAAATTTAGAAGTTATTTCCAATGCATGAACTTTGGGGGCCACAACTAGACTATAGCATTTGTGTATGGTGGGAACTAAGCAAACACTAAAGAAAGCAGCCATATGATCAGAGCTCTGCTGTCTCTTGGTTCTGCTTCTGTGCCCTGAACAGATTCCGGCTTCTTCATGTATTTCAACACCAGCTCTGTAAATGAGGGGGACACAGCAATGCTGGAGAGCAGAATGCTGTACCCCAAGATAGGATTCCAGTGTTTGGAATTTTATCTGTACAACAGTGGAAATGAAAGTGACCAAGTGAACATCTATACCCGGGTGTACACCGCAGGCAATCCAGATGGTGTTTTAACCCTTCAGAGAGAAATAAAAGGTATGGTATCTAAATTCTTACAGTTTGAATGCAGGTGAGGCATTCTCTTCAATTAATGTGGCAACCGGCAGTAGAGCAGGGGCCGATGACACATGACTTCCAAATAGAACTTGATCTGTCTTATTCAATTAGGAAGTTAAAATGAGGGTCTTTTATTATGTGATACTTACTTAGAAAACATAGCTGGTCTCTGGAACTGTGGATTTCAGTTTGTATTCAGTAATAAAAGTACACTGTAAACTATGGGCAGCACAGGGAGGGTTAATGCATAAAGAAACTAAACTAGGGGATAGATGAAGGAAGGACCGGCATCAGGGAGGAGTGGGCTTGTCCCTACATAAACACCGTTGGGACATTCATTTTATCTCACTATGGCCTGATCTTACCAAAGTGCTATTCAAGTGGAAAGGGAACTCTACCTAACTTCCAGCTTAAATCCCTGTGAAGGCGTCTGCTACGGTTTGAAGTAAATGCGACTGAGAGAGCTTTTTTTGTGTGTGTGTGGGGAGGGGGGTTCCACATTGCACGTCAGCAGGTATTAGAGAGGTAGCCAACTGACCACATATTGAGGCAGATGGGAAAGGAAGGGATGTGGGCCATTGTACTAGTTACTTTCCTCAGTGTTAGGACAAAATACCTGACAAAAGCAAGTTAAGGAGGGATTCATTTTGGACCAGTTTGAGGGCACAGTCCATCATGGCAGGGAAGGCATGGGAGCAAGAGTGTGAGGTAGCTGCTCACATGGCATCTGTAGCCAGGAAGCATAGAGACCAGAGTAAAAGTGGTTGGCTCATTTTCTTTTTTGGTGCAGTCCAGGACTCTAGCCCAAGGAATGGCTAGTCTCCTGGACTGCACCAAAAAAGAAAATGCATGTTTAGGATGATCTTTCTATTTTAATTGACCTCATTTAGAAAATCTCTCACAGATGTGCACAGGGTCTGGTCTCCATAGTGGTTCTAAACCCCACCAAGTTGACACTCATGATAAAATAGCATCAGCAAACAGACTACTCTTTCTTGTTGTACACACTGACCCCTTAATTTAATGGACAAAAACAAACACACTATGAACTGAGTACACACTGCCCTATATGTCACCACACCCCTCATTCATGACAGCCTCTGAAATACAAGTGCTGCTTGAGTTTGTGAGCACCCATGCATAGTGAGGTTTTTAATCTCAGAAAAAATCTGCATGCATTATATATATATATATATGTATGTATATATATATTCCATATAATTCTCTAAGATAGATATTAAATTGTATCTTACCTTTGTTAGTATGTATTATGCATCAATACGTATATTAATGCAAATATTAAAGTATGTATATGCCATTGTCCATGTTTGGGATGGAGATCTGCCCCATGAACAACCTGTGAGTCTATTATAGACAGTAAGTAACACAAGATTCTCAGGAACCCGCTTATGAGTCCATCTGGGTTTCATGGGTAGGAAGGACCATAATGAGGTCAGATCTGCAAATGCAGATGGAAAGTTTTTGTTCAGTGTGTAACCTACCCACGGACAGTAGCATGTTGTATAATCTGAATATTTATCATTTATTCCCAGGCAATTTCAATTCCCATGAAGTGCTGATATAGTCAAATTTCTGGTCAGTGTTAACTGACTGTTTGACTGTTTTCTGCCTTGTTGTCATGGGGGCTCCAGAGGAATTTTCAATGCCGTTTCTCACTGGAGTAGGGGGTATATGGTGGTTTGACTTTCCCTTCCCGGCTTAGCTCTTACCAAAGACACCATAGACTAAAAGAGAGACTCTCCCCTCATTTCCAGCTTAAATGAGCTGAAAAGTCTCCCATATGCAGTGAGCTGGATGTGAATGACAGGAAGGAAGTGGGTTGTAGGAGAGAGGGTACCACTGTCAGGTAAGTACTTTGAACACTGAGTTCCTGGGAGTGGACACGATGTGGTTTCCTGGGTTTGTAGATTCCTGGTTAATACTGCTAAAATTCCACTGAACTTCAAGTATTCCAGTTATGTTATACATATATAAAGAAGTCTTATTGTGAGTGCTAACAAATGGAAGGTGATAGTATTGCTCTGCTGTTAACCAATACAGAATGCCAGGTAACTCATAAGCAGAACATAGCACTAAGAGATTGGGTGCTTACCCATCTCTGAGAAAGGGTGAGCTATCTGAGAAGCAGGTATGTAAACATTAAACATCCCTGCGAACAGTCCAACTTCAGCAATGCCCTGGGATAAATAACTGAAAAGACCCCACATCCAGAAGGATCAGGGACTATTGTTGTCTTTGAAGGACAGAACTCTAATGCTGACCATGTCAGCACAGCATTCCTAGTCTTCATCACCCTTGAAACAGTGACTCTTTCTACAGAAATACCCACTGGGAGATGGCAACTTTACTACGTAACACTGCAAGTGACTGAAAAATTCCGAGTGGCATTTGAAGGACTGAGAAGCCCTGGTTCATCATCGGGTGGTCTGTCTATCGATGACATCAATCTGTCAGAAACCAGATGTCCACATCATATCTGGCATATACAGAATTTCACACAGCTTCTTGTCAGCCAGAATGCAGAAATACACAGTCCTCCATATTATTCTCCCAAAGGCTATGCTTATCAGATTTACTTGAAATTGAATTCCTTGCCTAATGTAGGGATTTATTTCCACCTGATCTCTGGTGCCAATGACGATCAATTACAGTGGCCGTGTCCCTGGCAACAAGCTACAATGACACTCTTGGATCAAAATCCTGACATCAGACAGCGTATGTCAAACCAGCTGAGTATAACTACAGACCCAACGATGACCAACGGTTTGTAGCTTGTTTTCTTTATGGCTAGGGACAGGATTACTTTTCAAGGAGGATGGTAATTTGGGAGTGAGAGATTGCACAGTTGGTTACTTAGGGCATGTTCAGCCTTGAAGTGAAGATAGTCAGCTTCAGGGAAAGGATTCAATTGTGGAAGACACAGTTCCTGAGCAGAAGGCTGTTAGACATGTCAGCAAGGACCGGGACACTGGGAATTAATCAACTTCGAATTCTAGGTATTGGCTAAAGAGTGTTGGCTTTGGAGGCTGGCATGCTTGGGTTCAAATATAATATTTGCTTCTCACTAGCTATGTGATCCTGTATAAAAACCTTCTTCAAGCCCCACTGTCCTTGGCTGTTAAACCAAGGCAGGGAACAATAATGCCACAGATGTGTTAAAAGAATTAGAAGAGATCAATACAGAAGCCTGTGGAGAGGGAGAGCCCCTCTGATGTTGAGTTTCTTTTGCCCATGCTGCCCTGTCACACTACTGACATTATGGGAAACAATCAGCTTTTGAGATGAGGGCTTCCAGTCAGAGTGGAGATGCTGGGATACTGGTGGCAACAGCATGGAAGTGGATGTGACATCTTATTAATGAATCTTAGAGGGTTTACCCATGGAAACAGCATTCCAAGTCTCAAAAAGAGCCATCACCCAGGGAGCTTCAATAGCCTTTTGTCCCTGGAAACTGACTAGAGGGAAAAATAGAATTATGGGAAGCTGAATATCACCAAAGGAATTTTATAAATGGCAAGGATGGACCAAAGTGACATAGGAAAAATAGAGACTGAATCTGATGGAGAAAAAAACTATCACAGAAACTGGAGGGTTTAAACATTCAGATACTTCATCCTTTTCCACCATGTTCCTTGGGGTAACATCGAAATATCACTAAGTTCAGTTTATGAGAGAAATTGTTCTTTGCTCGTATTGAAAACTCTCAGCAACTTACTGCCTTAGCTCAGTTAAAAGGGCCAATTGCAACTCAGAAGGCTGTTGAGGCTTGACCTCACCAGACAGAAGGGTTTTTGTAAAAGGCAGTGTTCATAGGGGTGATATCCCTACCTGGCAGCACCCCATTCATTGTCTAGAGCAATAGTTCTCAATCTGTGGCTCTCAACCCTTGTGTGGGGGGTCGAATGACCCTTTCACAGGGGTCACCTAAGACCATCAGAAAACACAGATATTTACATTATGATTCAAATAGCAGAAAATTACAGTTATGAAGTAGCAATGAAAATGATTTTATGATTAACAAGAAGAACTGTATTACATTAGGAGGGTTGAGAACCACTGCTCCGGAGTTTGGGCCTCACTGGCAAGCAATCTCATTTCCTTTAGGACTGTGTGAGTGAGCAAGCTCCAGCGACTTGCCTAGGAATACATCATAGATCAATAGCATCAATTAATCCTCTTCAGCTTCATCCTAATTGCGTCTCACTGTCTGAGTTTTCCTACCACTGAAAGCTACAATGATGCTAAACACAGACCATCAATATAAATTGCTTTTTCAGATGATGGAAGTTATTTTTGGGACAGGCCTTCCAAGGTGGGAAATGTGGCTCTTTTCCCTAATGGAACTCAGTTTAGAAGAGGCAGAGGCTATGGAACCAGTGCCTTCATAACCCACAAGAGGCTGACCAGCAGGGAGTTCATCAAAGGAGATGATGCTTACATCCTACTGACTGTTGAAGGTATAGAAAAAATAGTAGTTTTATGTGAGCTTGCTCCTTGTTGTGGCCATTGGTTGTCTGCCATGTCCTTCTGGGTTTTGTTTTTAGATATGTTATAGGATATGGGAGGAACTGGACACAAATGGCAATTTTTTGTATGAATGATTAGAAATATGAAAGTAGTTTAATTTGAAACATCAAAAGTGCTAACATAACATAAAATAAAAGTTAAACATTTATTTAGTCTATTGTGGGACAACAGCAGAAACCTTGAGGCTGGAAATCTGTTATCTTACTTCATCACCCAGGAAACACAAGCCTGGGTAGGAGATTAGTGGGTGTGGCCCTCAGACCTCCAACTGCCAGTCAAGCATGGTGATTGTCACCCAGTGCCCCCACCGTGTGTGTGAGTATACAAGTGTGTGTTTTGTGTGTGAGTGTGTGTATGTGTATTTGAGTGTGTATTTGTGTGTGAGTGTGTGTATGTATATTTGTGTGTGTGTGTGTGTGTGTGTGTGTGTGTGTGTGTGTGTGTGTGTATGTAAACCAGTGGACAACTCTGGCTGCCTTAGGCACCACCTGCTATGTTTTTTGAGATAATCTCTCACTTTTGCCTAGTAGGCTGGCTGGCTGGTCTCTGAGCCTGTTACCAGCCTGTCTTTCCAGCTCTCCAGTGCTGAGATTATAGGCAGGCACCACTTCATATGGCTTTTTTTTTTTTTTTAAACACAGGTTCTGGAGAGTGAAGTCAAGTTCTTAGCCGGTAGCCATCTCCTCATCTTTGTCCAATTGTTATTTGACTGCCCATGAATGCTGCTCCATCATGCACCAAGATACATGCTTTAGTCTTAAGCCTGAACTCTGAGTATTATCTGCCTCCAATGGCAAGTAATGCAAAATCTGACTTCCACCATGCTCTCTCTTTCCCTCTGCAGACATATCTCACCTCAACTCTACAGGGATCATCCCAGATCCTGTCCCCCCCTCGACCAGCATTGTCCCAGATCCTGTCCCCACCTCAACGGTCCAAAATGCCTGTTCTGAGGTTGAGTGTCAGAATGGAGGCATCTGCACTGTCCATGATGATAGAGCTGAGTGCAAGTGAGGGCTCACTTGGGATCTTCCACTGTCTTACTCTCTCATTAGATATGTTCTTGTTCTGCTGGCAGTTAGATGCTGATAATTCACATGGATGAGATTGATCAAGTCTTGTTAGGGTTTCTATTGCTATGATGAAACACTGTGACCAAAAGCAGATTGGGAAGTTAAGGGTATATTTGGCTTATGATTTCACATCGTAGTCCATTTGACTGAAGGAAGTCAGGACAGGAACTCAAACATGGCAGGAACCTGGAGCTGATGCAGAGGCTATGGAAGGGTGCCGCTTACTGGCTTGCTTCCCCTGCCTTGCTCAGCCTACTTTCTCATAGCACCTAGGATCACCACCCCAAGGATGGCACCTCCCACAGTGCGCTGGGCCCCCCAGCATCAGTCACCAATAAAGAAAATGTGATACAGGCTTGAGTGCAGCCCAATCTTACGGAGGTATTTTCTTAATTGAGGCTCCCTCCTCTCAGATGACTAGCTTGTGTCAATCTGATACAGAACTATGCAGCACAATTACTCTTTTGAACTCCATCTGGGTCTTTGGCTAGCCACCATAACAATTATTTGTGAAGAAATAGTGTACTACAGTCTAATTGCAAAATTATATATCTTATTATATTATATATCTTATTAAATCCTCACAGCAGTCCTGTCCCTTGACTCTGCTGGTCCCCATTTTCTAGATGACTATGCTGAATTGCTGAGTCCTTAGCCAAGGTGTGGTGCTCACAATGGTGGACCAGATACCCACTTGGCTTTCTCCCTACTCCTGGAGCTGCTGTCTTGGTATCAGATTAGTTATCATGGTCTCCCTACCTTGCCACCTGGTGCTATTTTCACAGCTTCAGGTAGTCTAGGGTCAAATAGTTATGAACTTCAGCCAGTGTTCAAATATGCTAGAGGTGACCGGGTCCTTTAATGATGAACATGTCCACAGTTAAATGTCACCATCTCTCTTCATGTAGGTGTCCTGCAGGGGAAGACTGGTGGTACATGGGAAAAAGGTGTGAGAAGAGAGGGTCCACCCAAGACACCATAGTCATTGCTGTTGCTTCCACTGTCACTGTGTTTGCGGTGATGTTGATCATCACTCTTGTCAGTGTCTACTGTACCCGGAGGAAATATCGTAAGAAGACTAGTTCAAACACGGCAGCCTTGAGTCTAGAAAATGTAAGTCCAATGTAATGTTTGGTCATTCAAAGTTTTGAGAGGCAGCCACATGAAGAAGAGATGACATTTTAGTAGACTTCTTCATTTTTAACCTTTTTGTGTCTTGAGCTAAGTTAACTGACTTGAGACTATTTTGCACTCCTGTTATCACCACTGTGAATTTGAGAGTCTGAATTTTGGGTCTGCAGAGGCTTATTTGAGGGGCCTCATTATACTCTGGGAGTTATATCTGGTTGTTCATGCTTTTCTGGGGTGAACCACTTAGCTCAACCTCACAGCTGACTTTGCCTGTAAGTGTCCACCTCCCTAGCAAAGGGGACATGGTTTATCAACGTCTTTGTTCTGAGGGTTTTGCATGGCTGGGTTCGGGAAGTGGGTGGAAGTATGTTTGGGAAAGTGTCTCCCTTAAAAAAGGCTCCAGTGAGAAACTCATGCCACAAAGGCCAGGACATCTTCCCGAGGACAGAGCAGACACTGCATGCCAGTCAGGAGGGATGCTGGGAGACTGTGATGAGGGCTTCATTTGAAACCTGGACTGTTGCATTGTGATCCACTGAAGTGGCAGCTTTCATATTTTGGAATTATGTCATCAATTGTTCTTTCTCCTTTCAGCAACATGCTTTTTGAACATCAACTCAATCAGACAGCCAGCAAGTGAGACGAAAGGGACTCTTCATCACGGAAGGATATTTCACCTGAGCCGTATGACATTTACAGCTTTCCAAAAAAAGACAATATCTGTAAATAGCTGAATTATAATAAATCATTATTTTGGCAAAAGTCAAATTGGTGATCTCTCTCCCTCCCTGCTTCTCTCAGCAGTTCAGGACTTTTTAGGTTTATAAGAATGACATTAAAAGGGAGGAAAACAGAGGCAGCTTTCCAAATTATTGTCCCTTCTAATCAGGGACAAAATATTGGACCTCACAGCAATTACCCAGTATCATCACAGAAAATACACTGTGGGAATGACCCCGGGCTAGCATCTCAGCTGTTTCAGTGTTGTCCTGTCTCAAAGTAGGGATGGACAGTTGGCATGTCCTTCCTGGCTTCCCTCACATGTTCTTCCAAACTGGCTCCTTCCTTGTTTTCTCCTGTGGTCTTTGGGGGACTTGAGCCTGCCTTAATGTAAAACTGAAGCCATTAGGAAAACTTTTAGCTCATAATCTAGAGGCAGAGGAACCTTGGGAGCTTTACATTATTAAACATTACTAAGGATTGTTAAACCTGAGACTTGTGAGACAAAAAACTGTTCCATAATTGTGAGCCAAATTTGAAGTATGCTTTAATTAAATACTGGCTAGGATAATGGACTCTGGCCAGGCCCATCTCTGAGTTCCCAGGAAATGGCCACAAGTCACATTTTGCAGAGGCTTAAAAAGGCAAAAACCATAGAGCCTCTGTTTTTTCCTTCAGGTCCAACCGAGGGCAAGCATATATCCTGATACACTGCCTACATCCAATCATGGGCAAGCATACAGCTTGACAAGTATTTCCTGCTGATGTGCCTCCCACCCACAAGTGATCAAACGTATCTGGTTATTGATCAAACAAATTTGTTTAGGGAAATGAAAACATGTGGCTTGTTACCTCCTATAAGCAATAGCCTCCAGCATTTCAGGAAGTATGCATCCTTGGGCCAGGAGCTTACAGGTTACTGTTGGGATAATCTTTTTATATACTGTGTGAAGATGTGTCTCTGTCCTTTCTTGCCTGTCTAAGGCACCTTCTGATTGGTTTAATAAAGAGCCAACAGCTAGGCAAGAGAGGATAGGTGGGACTTTTGGGCTGAGATACGAACACTGGGAAAGAGTCTGATGTAGGATATTCACCAGCCCAAAGTGGAGGAAGTCCGACATACAGTACTGAGGAAAGACGGCACAACATAGATGAATATTAAACTGGTTAATTTAAATTTTAAGAGCTAGCTGGGAACAAGACTGAGCTAAGGTTGTTGGAGGTGATAGTGTGCTGACCGCTAGCCCTGATGCTATGAACAAAGATGAGCTGTCCCCATTACTCATCTGACATGTGGTAGCATGGGCATCAGAGAGATACCCTCTCATCCACACCCCCTCCACTGCCACCCATCAATGCCTGGGACAGGTGGGGTCATAGAGCAGGGGGGCTGTCCTTACCCCTCACTCAGAAGAATGGCCCCTGTAACTCATCTGGGCAACCAAACAGAGCTGGCCCTAATGGTGCAGGTAAGGGAGAGCTGCCCCTGAGGGTGTGAAAGAAGGAGAACTGGCCCCACTCCTTGCTCATTGCTGCAAGAGGTGAATTTACTGGGGCAAAGCTAGAGCTCATGTTGGTGGTGAGGACAGGTGAGACCTGGCTGGAAGACCAACCCTAGAGCTGATCTAGGGTCCCAACATCCAACCAATCTATGATCTGCTGGGGCATGTGAAGTGACCGGTCCTGCAGACCCAAAACACAGGACAACAACAACCTATCCAGGAAGAGTCCTACTGAGGGTCCAGCATCAATAGTGTAGCAGAAACCAGAGGCCTCTAACCAGACCAATGACTCTCTGCAATGAACACTTGCAAGTAAAGATATATGGACAGGACAAAGGGGTTTACTGCATCACACTGTCACACTGCAGCTTCCATGATGAGATTTTTAAATTTTTCCCTTTTTTTCTTAAATTTTGCTTTATTTGAGGGGGGTTCAGGGGCAGAGGTCAGATGTGAAGAGATGGGGAAATAAATGGAATCAAGGTACATGATATAAAAGATGCATAGAATAAGTAAAAAGAAAGAAAGAAGACAGCTGATTTCTTGCTTGCTTATAGCTGGATCTTATGGAGGACTTTTGTCAGTTGAGGTCCTCTCCTCTTCAATGACTCCAATTTGTGTCAAGCTGACATAAAAGTAGCCACCACATCCTCCACAGGCTCACATATTTAAACTCTTGGTCCCCAGCTGGTGACACTGTTTTGGAAGGTATGGAAACTTAGGAGATATACCACAGCTGGTGACTTCCTGTCCCCATTCTGTTGCCTGACTGCAATGTGGGTGGCCACCTCACACTCCCATTACCATGCCTTTCTTGCCACGATGGGCAGTATCACTTCCAACTACACCAAAAAGAAAAAAAAAAAACTTTCCTCCCTTATGTTCTTCTTATCAGATATTTGGTCATAGCAACAAAATATGTAGCTGACATGCCAGGCAAAGTGACACTGTTCTGTGAGAATGGCACAACCTTAGTTTTCAATTAGTATGAATTACTAAAATGATGCGATTCTTAAGGAATTTTAAATGTAAGGTATTGCACATTATTTAAAATGTTGCACATGGGTACTTCATGGATGTATTCAATACTATGCTATTTCAAGTTAAAAATGGTTACATTTTACGTAGGATTTAATCACAACATGTTTCCCAGGCAAAATCCTTCTGTTATAGTTAGATATTCAAGGGAATCACACACACTTTCAGTCCCTCTTCCAAGTCTCCCAGCTCCTGCAGAAACAAAGCTAGTGTGCTTTTGTAAGGAAGAGACTGAGTATGATTCAATCCAAGGCTCAAGATAATCTTAAAATTCTTGTGTTTGTTCTAACAATATCACCAGCCTGTGGGCCCTGCAAAGAATGGGGTTCCATTCGGATGATTTCAGCTCCCCAATCTATGTTCAAATGAGAATGTGGAATGTGGACAGAGGAAAAACAGGTGTTGACATCTTGAATTTTCACATAAAACTAAATTTTACCACCTAAGTCAAGTCTGACTGCTAAGGCCATTAGGTTAACACTATATATGTGTGTATGTATGTTGAAGGACATTTGTTTACACTGTGTGAAGATGCGTTGTTGGGAATGGTTTAATAAAAAGTGGAATGGCCAATAGCTAGGCAGGAAAGAATAGATGGGACTTTCAGGGAGACAGAGAAACTGGGAAGGAGAGACGTGGAGAGGTGTCAGTGAGACACAGAAGTCAAACATACAGAATGATCAGGTAAGAATGACAATTCCCCCGTTTTTGTCTAAATAACAAGAAAAGGTTTTAACTCTAACACAGTAAACCTATATATAATAAGAACAATTATCAGGTAAGAATTGCATTCACAATGTGCAGTTCAATTAATTGCCAATTAGTATTTGGCAAATTCAGACAAAATACTCTATTATCTATTCTATCTTGATGAGTTTGAAGTTTTATACACACGCCACTTTCTATTTTAAGTTGTATTACCAACCTAAAAATATCTTTTTAGACTTTAAGACATTTTCTTAGATAAACAACTTAAGCTTTTATGTTTCCCAATATTATAAACTTTACACCTCTTATGTAAGTTCCTTTTCTGAATTTGGTAACAAGGAAAACTAAGAAATTATATCTAGTCTTCAACCCCATCAGAGACCCAGAAGGATATAGTATTACCAGAGTATATAGGAGGTGCAGAGCCAACAACTTCCAAAACTATAGACATGATGGAGTCCCCAGGAGTGGCAGCCAGCTGTCGTGACTGCTCATGGAGAGGCCCTGGTGGTGGCTGCAGCAACACCAGCTGGCATCACTCCTCTGTCCATGTGGTCTTTCCATGTGTCAGATACCAAATGTAGCTAGACTTTCTTCTGGGACTACCAGCCCCCCCAATAATGACATGGAGACTTACTATTAATTATGAAAGCTTGACCTTAGCTTAGATTTGTTCCCAAGTAGCTCTTATACCTCAATCTAATCTGTTTCTATTAGTCTATGTTCCATCAAGTGGCTTTTGCCCCTCTTTCATTTGAATGTTCGACTTCTTCTGTGTCTCACTGGCATCCCTCCACCTCTCTCCTTTCCAGAGTTCCTCTCTCCTGCCTATTCTCTCCTGCCTAGCTTCTCTCTCTCTCTCTCTCTCTCTCTCTCTCTCTCTCTCTCTCTCCTTCTCTCTTCCTCTCTCTCTCTCCCTCTGTCTCTCTCTGTCTCTCTCTCTCAAGCAAATAGGCTCTCTCTCTCTCTCTCTCTCTCTCTCTCTCTCTCTCTCTCCCTCTCAGTTTTTTGAGACAGGGTTTCTCTGTATTGCTTTGGAGTCTGTTCTGGAACTTTCTCTGTAGACCAGGTTGGCCTTGAACTCACAGAGATCTGCCTGCTTCTGCCTCCCGAGTGCTATGATTAAAGACATGTGCCACCACCACCCTGCTCAGCTTTTTCTTAACAAATAACAATGACACATCTTCACACAGTGTAAACAAATATCCTGTTTTGTATATATGTACATAATTCTGCATGTATGTGTGTATTATGATCAACATGGACACGTGTGGAGATGTATCACACATGGGACAGGTGAGACTTGCTATCAGGAAAGCAACAGGTTACAGGAAGTTGTGCTTAGAACTCTCAGGCGATTGGCAAAAACTGTTTTAGAAAGATCTAACTAACCATTGACTAACCAGCCATGAGATTTATTCCACTGTAGCCTGAGAGGTGGGAGCAGACCACATGAGATGGATAGTGCGCTAACTGTGGGACACAGAGGAATATCCCTAGGGAGCTAATGCTCTGTTGGCAAGAGGCGGCACTTGTCCGCTCAAGTCTAGGCTCCCTGTGAGTAATCTTAGGTGTTATTGAATTTTCTTTGATCTTTTTGTGGTAGGTCATAGCTTGTCTTGAGTTTCACCATCACGTGTG